GGTGGAGGCACAGGAGCTGGTGGTGCTGATGCAATGGATGGTGATTCGGAAGGTTGTGAGCCAGTGGCTGGAGGGGGGACGTTTTGGACCGGTATTGAAGGGTCCGTGGCGGTTGTGGTGATGTGTTGGATTGGTGGTGTGGGGTCTGATGGTGTCTGTTGTGGGAGTGGAGGCTGGACTGGTGGTGAAGCGCTGATGGTTTGTGGAGGGTACGGTTGGGGTGGAGGTTGTGTGACTGGGGGAAAGGCTGAATAGGGTTGCCAAACGCCCTGGGGGATGGCGCATTGTGGGTCTGTGGATGGGTGATGGGCAACCGCGGTCTGTTGCTGTGTTGGAAGGGGATGTGTCAGTGTAGTGGGGGGGGAAGTTCAGTCGGTGGTGTGGGATGTAGTGGTGGCGACGGGTATGAAGGGGGAGGTGCTGCTGACGGAAAAACTGGAGTTGGATGTGTGGGCTGCGGTGGCATGTGAGATGGTTGTACAAACGGCCAAGTGGATGGAGTGCCGTAGGTCAGTGCAGTGGCGGTCGGACTGGACAAAAAAGGTGGTGGTTGAAATGGTTGTGGTTGTGGGTGAGGGTATGCCGATGGTTGTGGCGAGGGAAAAGTGGGTGCAGTTGACGGCTGTGGCAGCGGCCATGTGGGTTGAGGTTGTGTGGTAGGTAATGGTGGTGGCGTGGCGTGAGCGTATGGCCACGGAAAATGCATATCGTAGTCGTAGCTATGGCGCGGCGCGGCGCAGCAGCAAAATTGCAGCGGAAAAGTGCCGAGTTGTATTGGCATGATGTGGTTGAAAATTTCATCTCTGGTGTTGATGGAGAGTATGTCGCAAAGTGGTGCTTGTTGTCAGGTGTGTGTTCATGCATCTCGAATTAGATTGAAGAGCTCTAATGCCCAAACTTGAGTTCTGCAAATGAAAAAGTCACGGCGTTGATATGGCAAAACGTGGAGAAACAAGTATGAACATGACGGATCCGAAATCTGAAAGCTGATATCCGATGTATTCTTCAAGAACCGTTTTTTGGCCCGGCGGCCAGTATGTCAGTTGATTCGGTGAGGGTGTCGGTGACTTCCTGTGAGGTTCCAGTGAGTGGTGGTGCTTTGTGGTTGTTGCTTTCCCATGCGAGAACGGCGCCCCTGTGACGGGGATCACACTCAGCACCCGAGTGGGACGGCTGAGCGAGACACACTCTGACACTTGTATTCAGTGAACTCAGTTACCACGTTGGGAAGAAAGGCGGTAGAACAGCATGGCGAAAAGTCCAAGAAATTGTAGATGTTTGAACAAAGGTTGTTTCCCTTGACTGCGGTGAAGAAGCGGCTCAAGCTGCATCGCTGCTGGGGAGGAAAAGGTTTGGGGGGAGTATCATGAAACACCATGGAATCAAAACAGGAGGATTGGAACAGCTTGCTCAAACGTTGAAGCAGGTACGTCGACAGGACGTCTCCCGTCGATGTCACAAGCAAGAGATAGGTGTCTTCGTTGGCACCTGCCCTATCTCTGCTTCAGGTGCCCCCTGCCTGTGGTAGTAATTGGTTGGTGACAATTGGTGGGTGAGAGAAAAGCTGGAGAACCCTTTGTCCAGGGGTGGACACACACACACACTTATGGATATGCATACTGACACGAATGCGGTGCCAGACGCCAGCCTAAGAACCCAAATCCTGAAAAGTCCAGGAAAGTCCTAAAGAGCCTGTGGGGGTCTTCAAGAGGAAGTGTGGCCAAAAGGTCAAGACGAGGTCGGTCCGACAGGTTGACGGCGTTCCGTGCGTGACTGCAGCTACATTAGGCACCGTGTCTTTGAGGTTCTGGGCTTAGCCTCATGCCATTCGAAAAGAATCG